AATTAAAACCACATACATATTTTACTATAACTAAGTGTCAAGTGTTTTAATATAATATTAAGTGTTAGGATGCTGAATACATAGAGTATATTAGTAGAAAGGAGGAACCCTTGGTGGGAGTTTGGAGGCCACATGAAAATAATGACATCTGAATTGAGTTTTGAATAATGAGTAAGATTGAACCAGGGGAAAGAGGCATGAGAGGTGATTTAGGCAGAAGAAATAATACAAATAGAGTCATGAGGATGGTGAAACAGTATTAAATATTTGAGGAAGATATTCAGTAACTAGACCAAACAGTTAAAAAGTACAAACCATCCTAGGTGGGGATTGACAGGTGGAATGGAAGTGTAGGTAGAAGTCAATTGTGGGGACTTTTAATTCCATGTTAGGGACTCTACACTATCACAGATCAATTGAAATATCTTAAACTGGAGAGTAACACAGCCATATTAGCAATTTAGGAAAAGTGCTAAAATTTTGTGGAGGATGGGTTTGGTAATTGTGGTGGAAGAAACAGAGATGAGACCTATTAGGGCACTATTTAAGTTGTCTAGGAAACAGACAAAGACTAATTTGAGACTGTAAGGATGGGACTGGTAAGAAGGAAATAGACTTGCCCATATATTTAAGAGGTAAGTTTAGCAGGAGTGGATATGGGAATTGGAGCAAAGAATAGATTTTTTGCCTTGAAGGCCTGTGTGGATAACAGTAACATTAAGAACTGGGTAATGAAGGAAAGGCTGGATAGGGTGGATGATGAGTTTGGTTTTAAAATATATTATGTTTGGGGTGTTTATGGAACACATTATAGATATGTCCAGAATGCAGTTGGCTATACTAATCTGAAGCTCAAGGGAGTGGTCAAAGCTTGACATGAAGTAATCATTACCCCAAGGAACATGGATATTAAACATATTACTATATGGCAGGTTAGAGCTATTTTAATGGTTACTCATTATTTAAGCATTGTCATTTCTGTTTCAGCACTCTGTTAAAACATTTAGAGAGTTCCCAGTGTAACAGGTGAGGACTTTATCCTATGTCGGGTCCCTAATGTCATGTAGTATAAATATACATTATATTTTTTAAAAATATCCTCCTGTATAATGATTATTTACCTGCTAAGCATTTATTAAGCATCTACCATGCATGCTAGGTATTGTGCTCGTAGCTAGGAGTACATAAATAGATAAAATAGTCCCTAATGTCAAGTCTCACAATCTAGTCAAATACATAGAAATTAAATTAAAAAGTGAGATAAGTTCAAAACAAAAACATATACAAGAAAAAAAGGGAACACAGAGGAAGGTGTAACTAGTTCTTTTTGTGCAGGGCATATCAGGAATGCTTCCCAGAATGAATGAGATTTGAAATGTCCTTTTAAAGGTAAAGAGAGTTCTGTCTGGTTGATGAGGTACAGCAGTGGGGAGGAAAGATTATTTGGGGTGAAGAAAATAGTACAGTTCCTTTGTCACAAGGAACCAACCTGAGGCATTTGGGAATGACAATTTGGTATTACCTGAGGATAAAATAGAAGGGAGATGGCCAATTGGAAATGTGGTTAGAGAGGTAAATAAAAGATATTCACTCAAATTGTGCAGGTATCTTTCTGCACAGAAAAGCTCATTTATCTAAAGGTTTTAGTATAAAATAGCATTTTGAATTTCAAAGAGAAAAATGATGAATCAGGATAACAGACAAAAGAACTGGACATGAAAAGTAAAGATTGGAGGCCACATGGACAACCAAGATCAGATTTACAACAGTCTAAAAGTGAATTAGTTTCATTAAGAGGTCATTCATGTAATTCAAAAACATTTCAAGCACATTTTTACCCATATTAACTAGTCCTTAAATGAGTCTCTCACACATTCTATGTTCTGACCCTAAATACCAATACTGCTTGTATTTTCTCTTGTCTTGCCTCTTTTCCACCAGGGCTATTCCAACCTTGTCAACTTTGATGCTGATGCCACACATATTTTCTGCTATCTGCTCTTCCTTCACCTGACAGATTCACAAAAGATGTATTATTATGCTCTTTAAATAACTGTCACAGAATTCAATATGGCTTCTTTAGGTATGATTTTCTGAAAGGGCTGATGTGATGAAATCTTTTCCTGTTTGTGTAACTTCTGGCGATGGCTAATGTATCATCATGCTCATCAAGCCTTTAGTACTATACTAGCATTGCAGAATGGTTCACCATCTCTTTCATGTCTCTTTGCATAAATAATTCCAGAATATAGGGAATCACGAGCATAGCTAAAAGCCCCCAAATAATATTTGCAAGGATTTCTAAGGATGCTCACAGATTTATTTCTGCGATGAAGAAGTATAATTTACATAATCTCTTTCCAGGTTCACTTCCTGGAAAGAGATATGTTTTAATGCAAGAGGGCCACCAGGAATTATTATTTGCTCACAAATATGTTATATTTCTCAGGAGTTCCATGTTTATATTTGGTAATAAATTGTTTCCTGATCCTCTTTGAAAGTAATATAGATGTTTATTTACTTGGACTATCTAGATAAACCTTCCTGAAGGCCAAAAGGTGCAGTATTTGGTCATATCATATTTCTCCAAAATTGTACATGAAAATAGGTTTGATGTATGAATGCATATAAATATATAAGTAGCAATAATTGTTATTAAATTACAGAAATATCAATCCATACAAATAGATATTCTATAAATCTATTCTTAAATGAACAATGTTATCTCTCTCCTGAGGTCATCTCTCAATAGGTCTAAATCTAGTTGCTATTCTCTCTACATCTGTATATGGTCTTTTTAAGACTATCTTCCTAAAAACCCAGTAAGTGGTAAGTCAAATAGCTATAGAAAAATATTTGCATCTCTTTTTTACACTTCTATTGTCTCCTTCAAATGAAATGCTTTCCTTTATTCAGATGCTACTTTGTTTCATAGAAATGTTCAGGCCATATCCTTTATTTGAACTCTTCCCTAATAATACAGTAGTCTTAATTAATCTTCCTGTTCTTTAAGAATTTATAATTGTAATTTGTGCCATATAATTAAGCACTTCATTATAAAGTATTTTGTAATATTCACTGATTATTTATGGATGTCAGTCTTATCTCCCTGGTGACACTGTAAACTTCTTGATGACTTTCATAGATTTGAATTGAAGAAAATCACTAGTAATATACCATATACACTGGTATATTTCTTTTCTTTTTTTACTGATACATTTCAACAAGCATTTCATGTTCTAGACCAACTATCAATTCATGAATTTATTCAATAAATGTTTATTGAGCTCCTATAATGTGCCATATACTGTTTTAGGCAATGGAGATATGGCAGTAAACAAAATAACAACAGAAAAATTGGGGCTTCACTGAACTTTAATTCTAGTAAGGGGAGTCCAGACAATACATAAATAATTTAAATATATGGTATGTCAGTTTCTCATGAAAAAAAAAAAAAAACAGGGAAGAGGAATAGGATGTGCTTCCAGTGGAAAATAATGGCAATATTTTACTTTTAAATAGGATGGTCTGGAAAGGCTTTGTTGAGAGTGCATATGAGCAAAGACCTGAAGGTGGTAATGGAATGAACAACACAGGTATCTGGGGAGGAGAGTTCCTGGCAGAAAGAAGAGAGGCAGGGCCCCTAGGATATTGCCATGGAGCTCTATAAGGCATCAGATTTCTTAGGGATATCAGATTTACTTAACTTCCATTTCTCCTGTCTGAGCTTGATTATCGCTTTTTAGGGAAACCTTCCCTAACCACATAGACTGGATTATACCCTTCTCATATGCATGCCGTTCATATTGAATGTATGTTCTCACAAAACTGTTTATTTAATCATTTATAATTATAATTAATGTATAACTCACCCACTAGAATGTAAGTTTCAAAAGGGCAGGTACCTGTTTTGTTCATGACTTTCTCTTTGGCACCAAGTGTATTGACTAAATAGACAAAGCACTACTCATGTGCACGTGAGTGTGCGTGCACACACACACACGCAGTTTAACCAACTAGCTTAGTGATGGAGGGATCATGTTTTCTATCCTCACAATGCTTAGACATAACTCATTGTGAATGACCTTTGCTTTATTCTAATAAAATGGAGAGCTGATGTTATTTGGAAGGAAATAAGGATTTAATGAATGAATGAAGATGCAGGAGATTTTCTGAAGCTCTAAGTGTCACTTCCTCAAACACTCAAAGGAAAATATCAACATGAATGGTAACATCAGCATCATCATTAACAAAAACACCAGATAGTCATGTTTAGCCAGATATAATAAATCCTATTGAGCCCCTATTATTTACCAGGCACTGCTCTAGACATTTGGGATATATCAGTGACCAAAAGAGAAAAATCCCTTTGGTCACGTAAAGGAGTTTGTATTCTGGGTCAGGAGAAGATAGACAATAACCATGGTAAATATGCCTATTATATAACATTGTGACAACAGTTAGTGCTAGGGGAAAACATGGAGCCCAGTAAGGGAAACTGGGAGTATAATTTCAGGTAGGGTGAACAGGTAGTCCTAGCTGAGCATGCAATATTTCAGACATGCTGGAAAAAAAATGGTACTCTAAAAATGAAGGGAATAAGCAGTGCAAAGCCATCAGAATATTCTAGAAAAAATTAGGTCACATATTTTAATGCACAGGGAAATAAGGCATGAGAGAGACATGCTGGAAAAAAAATGGTACTCTAAAAATGAAGGGAATAAGCAGTGCAAAGCCATCAAAATATTCTAGAAAAAATTAGGTCACATATTTTAATGCACAGGGAAATAAGGCATGAGAGTGTCAGGCACATTAGCAAGTGGAGGAGAGAGAAATTTTCTTTGACTTAAAATTTAGAATTTAACTTTTCAAAAAAATTAACTTACAGTTGCAACAAAATCAAAGAAAAAGTTATTTTATATCACTTACTAAGAGAAAACATTAAAGCACATTTTTATAAAAAAATTTCAAGATATTTGAAGATGAGATGAGAATCTTACCATTTTTGCTGATGTCGAGTTCTTTAAGGTTAACTAAACTAGCAATAGTGGTTGGCAGATTTGAAAGGTCATTATCAGGAATACTTAGTTTTCGTAGAGCTTGACAGTTGAACAATTGCTGTAAAAGAAAATTAGTCATAAATTAGATCTCAATTTGATTAAGTCCATTCATACATAAACTCAGGAACAAAATTCTAGTCTTCATGTTTGTAAATGTGGTAGTAAAAGAGGCAGCTATAAAAGCTTCAATTTCCTCCACACCCATATTTCAATTGTTTTCATTTTCCAACCCCATGTTAGTGCCTCACTGTTTTCTGCTACCCAGACTCAAAACCCAAGGTATTCTACTGTTTCCCCTTTTATTAATATTCAATTTGCAACTGAATCCTATTGATTTCTTTTTCTTTAAAATAACTTTTGCAGTTGTCCCTTCTTTTCCATTTCCACAGCTACCAGGATTGCCTCAGTTCTCTTATTCTGCAACCACATTAGGTTTCATATAGTATTACTTCCATTCCATCATGCTGAGCAATTGCTTATATGATCTGCAAGAATGGCAATACATTGGAATACATGAGCTCACATTTCTTTTGTGCCCCCCCACTGTTTCATTAATATTTAGTAAATAAAACATTTAACCTCTGATATTTGGTGAAATAAATCCCTAGTTATTGGTTCATTTCTACCATCATTTCAAAGAACTAGGTGGGGAAGAGCCAAGTGTTAAAGCAATGGCTCTCAAATCTGTCATGTTTATAATCTCTGGTAGATGGAGATGCTTGTTTAAAATGTGGATTCTTAGGCTCTTCCCAAATAAGTATTGTTACAGTATGTCTGGGAAAAAGGTCAAAAGTCTACATTTTTAATAAGCACACTGGTCATCTGGATATTTTGATGTAGATGTTTCCAATACCATACTTTGAGAAACAATAATTTCAATTTTTTAGCTCTGTCCAACTCCTCTTGACTACTGTAATATATGAACAGCTGGGACAGAATTTTTGATTCATTTCTGGAAGAATTATCTTAATGAGATCTTTTCTGTTTGACATTTCTAATTTTGTTTTGCTGAATTTCCACAGATGAATTCTCTGGTATCCATGACTATGCAATTGGCCCAAAGCACATTTAACTACCACTTATTCTTATAAGTAATTCATTATTTATAGGCAAAAACAATGTAGCACATGGTTGTTATTTCTTAACTCATTAGCTTTATTCTCTGGTATCCATGACTATGCAATTGGCCCAAAGCACATTTAACTACCACTTATTCTTACATGTAATTCATTATTTATAGGCAAAAACAATGTAGCACATGGTTGTTATTTCTTAACTCATTAGCTTTAAAAAAAATAGATTGTGTTGGTTGTTCTTTAAGATGAAATGTGCAGTTTTTTTGAGTTAGTCATTTTTGACTCTTTACAAAGATTATTTGCAACACTTGATGCAATGTAGAATTAATTTTCATCATCTTATACAGAAATGTTGTTACTTCTTTTTATAAAACTTCAAAAAGAGAACTTTGATGCATACTTTGATGAATAGTTTCCACTAACTACTAATTTTCTTTCTAAAGGAAGAGGAAAACAGATGTCGACACCCATGGTAAAAGTTAATTTAAATTTATTCCCAGTCTCTATCATTCTATTAGGAATACTACATCTATATCTATATGCACTGTGGTTAGTTACAGATTCATAGGTTTAAAAAAAACAATTGTTTCATGACTTATTTTGGTAAGATTTACTAACTACTATAACCATTTTACACAATGTTCAGGCTAACGATTCTCAAAACAGTTTGTTTTTAAATTTGTCTCATCATTTCAGCTAAATTCTCAAATGATTTCAAGAATTAATAGAGGTGCCATTATTCTCCCTCAATTTTAAATGAAGCCACATTCAGAAACAAAGATATGGAAATTCCTGAACACTCTATTACAGAGGGAATCTAAGACCTCTCTGGCATAGAGGCCAAGAACATGGCATTTGGAATCAGACTGATGTGTGTTTCAATCTCTGCTCATCCATTTACTAACTGTGCAATCTTGGGGAAGTTACCTAACATCTCTGAACTCATCAGTTTCCTTGCCTGTAAAATGGGAACAATAAATTACCTAACTTGAAGAGTTATTGAGAGTATTAAATGAGTTAACACACTTCATTAATTCTAAGTCATGCATTTTTTCACATGTCAACATTGTTGATATTTGGAAACCATCTTACAATCAAGAATAACATAATTTTTAAAGAGTGTTTTTTTTATTTCTTAATGGTACTACACTAATGATGTGTCTTATAATCAACGGCCTTGGATTTAATGAAATGAAGTACTTGTGAAAATCTAAAACTGTGTTTGACACATAGTAAAGTTTGATAACAATTAGCCATTATTATAATTTATATACATAGATACAGAGGCGCCACTATATAATTCTTATTTTTCTAGATGATAAAGCCTTTGAAGGCAGGAGTCATGTGTGATTCATATTGGTATCAACCTGTTTCTTTCTTTTTTTATATACATCAAAGTGTATAGTGTACACTATGTATACTGTATATGTATATGTATAGTGTATACTATGTATATGTATAGTGTATACTATGTACAGTGTCCTGTACATAGTATATGCTGAATAAATATTTTTGAAAGTATGTATAGGTAGTTAAAGAGAAAATGAAGAGAGTGCTAAGTTCCAGCTGAGAGTGGTAGTTCACTGGATCAGAAGTTTAAGATAGGTAAAGTCTCAGGGGAGGCTAAATTTCATAAACAGAGCAGTGAATTTCTTAATAAGAGTTGTAATGTCTACAAATTGGCAAAGAAATTAAGAAGGCATTTTAATGATTTTTCCAGGATTCAAGCTTTGAGTGAAAATGAAGTGAAGAATGATTATAAAATAGTTGTAATTCTTCAATATAGTAGAAAACAGCAGATATAATTAATAGCTAATTAGAGTAAAAGAGGTAATGGTTATGGTTAACCTGCCTTTCATTTGCTAGTGACATTTCACATTTCAAAAACAATAAAATTGTTTTGATTCTTAAAATATTTGTGTACTTAAGTGCTCTTTTTCTTGAGCTAAAGGAAGCAATTTAACTCAGAAGAAATGGGTTTGAGAAGAGTATGCAATAAAAATGATTGACTCCAAAATAAACATTTAGAACTGAAACACAAATGATTAGGTGTTTTCTGTAACAGCTGATACAGAAAAGAAAGGCTCAAAAGCTGAAAGTAAAAATATACTTGGGGCTAAACACATATATTCTACAGGTATTATTTCTTTCATTTATTCATGGAAAACCATTTATTAATTCCTGTTCCAAACTAGACACTGTACTAAGTGCAGGGGACACAAGATGAGTAAGACATAGCAAGTAAGCCCATGTTCCTAACACTTTAATATTCAGATATTAATTTAAATATACTGTGAAAAACTATTTAGGGGTAAATATCAGGTGTAATGGAAACACACTGGTAGGATATCTGCACCAGATTTCGTTGATGATAGAGCTTGGGTTGACTTACAAAAGTATCCCTGGAAGAGGTGTGAAAAAACGAATCACCCAAGAGCCAGCACAAGTTAGCCAGATGAAGGTAAAAGAGAGGATAATGTCACACCTATCTTGAATCATAGATAATCCCAATTTAAAGAATATATAACTCAAACTAGTTTTACATATTTACTTGATAATGAGAGGAGATTTGGATCTTAAAGTGAATGTTCTAAGTCTACAACATCTACATGCATTTAAAATATATTTATTGAATATCTATTGTATGCTAAGGTCTGTCTTCAGTACTGATGATAAAGGCATGAAAAAAATATCATCTTCTATTTTCAGAAGTATGATGGACTAAATATTCAAAGAACAACCTCTTGGTGCAATGAAACTACTCACTCTCTCTCTCTCTCTCCCCGCCCCTCCCCCTCTCTTTCATTGTATAACTGAAGTCTGGCTGTAAAGAAATTCTTCAAATTCCAGAATAACAAGAAAATAACACACAGAATTAAAGAAGTCTGGATTTAGATTCTGCTCTGGTGGTAGCTCTTGGTCCCCTATGGCTTAAGCCTGAGTTAACGCTATTACAAGTGGAAAGGGTAGACGACTTTTCATTCTGAATGAAATGGGATATGAACAGAGTGTCTTAGAGACCACTCCATATGGCATTTAATGGGAAAAACAGAGTCCTGCAAAAGGAGTCAGAGGAGATTCACTCATGCCTTTCTCAATTTTGGCTCTGAGTGAAGGGCAAGGGAGGAAGGGGGGGGGGGTTGGAAGGAAGGAACGATGGGAGGGAAAGGAAGAAAGAAAGGAAGGAAGGGAAAGAAGGTAGTCAGGGGGAGGGAAAGAAGAAGAAATAGGAAGAAGAAATAGGAAAGATAATGAAAGCAAAAAGGAAACGAAGTAAAGAATGAAAGGTGAGCAGGAGGAAGAAAGGAATGAAGGGAGGGAGGGAAGGAAAGGAAGAAAGTAGAGAAGAGAAAGCAAAGGAAAGGAAGAAACAAAGAAAAAAATTAGTCTCCTAAGAATTACCAACTACAAGCCTAACTTTCTTGAGTTGGGGCTGGAATTCTCAATTATCTCTGAGGCTTCCTAAAACCCAGTCCAGACTTACAAGTGGTCCTGTGTCAGGATTACCCCCAAGTGCCTGGTAGAAGCAAATACAAATCTTCTTCCAAGAAATGAACTTTAAAGTTTAAATCAACTTTATTTTTTTTAATGTATTTATTTACTTATTATTATAACAGTTGATTGTACATATTTGTGGTGTACAGAGTTGAGTATTAATACTTGTGTGCAATATATGATGCTTAAATCAGAATAATTAGTATATTCAACATTAAATCAACTTTAAAGTTTAAATCACAGATAAAATTCCAGTAAACATGGAATCATTAAAAAAAATCACAAAATACATAAGAGATGCTGCAGAAAAATAATCAGGCCTGAAAATGATGCACTTATTAGAATTATAAAACACAAAATGCAAATAAATACATTTAATATGTTTAAAGAAATAAAAGTAGGATTTGAAAGCATATTGATAAAACAAGAGATTATGAAATAGAACTCAGTAGATAAGCAGATTAAACACAGCTGGAGAAAGTAATAG